TGCGATATTTACCGTGGGCCTTATTGGTAAGGCCCAAGACTGAATAGTACTGATAGTGTAAAGATTATACTTCTATCATTGCAATTATCGGACAGGTGCTGCGTGTAAATTTATTTTATTGTTATTTTATATGGCATCATATTTAATGCTTAATGGATGAACATTATCAACTTCAATTAATGGATACCCGATGTGTAATTTAATTAAATACAAGATTCAAAACTGATATTATAGCTATTGTCATAAAAAAACTACCTACATTTATTCTCTACATTTATTCTTAGTTCTCGAATCCTTTGTAAATAGTAGTAATATGTTTTTTGACTAGACTTTGTAAGAAGTTGTCTATTGGGTACCTATATATGTCTTACCTGCTTTGAGCCTCCAACCAGTTGAGTTTATATGGGAAATTTTAAAATCGGTTATATATTTTTTAATATTGTCAATTACATACAAACAAACCATTTTCTCTTATATTATACTTCATGCTGCTTCTTAACATATCGATAGGATGACTTAAAACATTTCACATTATTTTACGAACTTGTAACGTATCAAAGTGAACCTTGTTTATGGCTCTGTTAGTGCCGGGTTCGATTCCCGAGTCGTGTCGTCGTCGAGCGATAGTCGCACGCCAATAAATCGCCGTCGACACCTACCACAATGCAAGGAGAAAGTCTTTAAAGGAAATATGGTCCGACCGTACAATTGGAGTCACAAAAAATTTAATTTCCAGCGGGTTATTGATACTGGAAAGTACTTTTCAATATATTGATCAAGATAATACTATTCAAGAGCTCCCGATATTTCGACGCGATCACGGGTCGACTTAAGATGGTGGTGGATGTTAAACAATTATGAGCAGAATTTTTAATAGTACTAAAATGTATTAAATAAACCAATAAAAAAACTTGACATGCACTGCTTATGGAAAACCCATCACGCATACCCTCTCACTTCAGTGGTGACTGCCGGACTCCTACCGTGCAAAATCACTACGGCTTCATCGCCCTGTAATGCCAGGGTCACGAGGCAATAAAGCATTCTATTGCGACCCCAGTTGACTACTCGGCCGAAAGGACCCTTTTCAGTGCGTCGGGTTTCTCGAGAATAAAACTACTCTTATACTTCCAGCTTCTTTCTAGCACTACTAGACCTGTCTAGTACTAGTCTAGTAGTGCTAGATTGTAGCGGTCCATCCCGTATTAGAATACGGGTACAATCTGGTACCTAATATTTTGAAGATTAACTTATTTAGCCTCCGTATCCTCTACTCAAACTGCTATATTTATGCTATACTTTATACCATACTGCAAAGCTGATAGATACTATGTAAGTACAGGGAGTATATTTTTATTGTTTAAGTTCCATTTTATTACTTTATTACTAGTATGATATATTTGATAAATTTTAATGGCCACTAAGCTGTTAATGACTCATCTAATTAATCAATGTTAAACTTCATTATACTATCAATAAAACAGTAAATTGCTTTTACTGTGGCTTCTAAGATATACGACTATAGTAATTCCGAGTTATCGAAGGATAACTTTATCGAGGGTGAAACTAGTGCTTTCTGATTTCTACTTGTCATGTTATGTCAATTGTACATAGGTAACCTCACTGAATTTGTTCAACATTCTGGTAGACAACATATGAATGTATAATTAGTTATACAGCGATTGAATTTTATATATACCCTTTTCTAAAATAAATTTATTTATTTTTAATTCATAATTACATTTTTGTTCTAAATCTTAAAATATGTATATAAAATAAGACAGAGCACATCGCCGTCGTGATAAAATTACGCATCCCTAGTGTAGCAATACTAACTTAGGAAGTTTAGAAGTAATACCAAATTAGGAAGAATGCACCAATATTATATATTTGTGGTGTGACAAGAGTGATTTTTAGTAAGCAAAAAATAACATAAAGAAAGAAAAGTGGCAAATTAACTAAAAGCTATATGTTTATCGAATAGATTTTTCTTCTAAGACTGAAATATTGGGGACGGCAAAAATATGAAGAAAAACTAGCAACACCGACCGCCACTATCAAACATCTGAGCCAGTCACTTATTCCTATTAATTCTTATTCATGGCGTGCCTCGTTTAAGGTTATGTTCTATTTCACACGTAATTTTACTAAAAACTTTATAGTCTAAATTAATGCAGAATATGAACCTTATACACTCGATTTTATGATATTGTTTTTATTAATTATAATTCCGCTCTAACCTCATAAAACTCATTTACACAACTAATAATTACATCTAGATACTGTTAGAGATATACAGAATATTTTAAGTTTACTCTATTTAAATACAATCCAAAGGTTTCATTCTGTTAATGGAACATATTTTATAGTGATGCCGCCAACTTTGACTGTATAGAATTAGTTCTACTTCGAGTACTGGTGTATTTTTTATGAAGAGTTGTGTATTCCTTGAGAAATTATTGATTAGCTATACAAAGTCTCATCCCTTATTTCAACAACAAGTTTTATTACTACGACTTAAAGAAACACTATATCCTTTACCACAGTTAAATTTATCTCTAACGTTAATCAAAATTGGCGTGTTTGTGTATTGATTGACAGATTTACTTTCATATTATAATAATAGTATGGATTAATACAGTATTAAAGGAATGGAAACTTACATAAATCGAACCAAGAATCTAATCCAAAGCTCGAGTGATAAAATCGGAACACAAACTATAATGATATGAAATAGTTCGCAAAGGTTGAATGCTGAGCGTTCTTTGAACGAAAGTGCCGCCTGGCGCTTTTAAAGATTTCGTTTCTTAATAAGACAGGTGGAAGGATGCCTAAAAGAACCTTTAATCTGTCTTTTAATCAGATATGAATGGAATTAATCAGTTTAATAAAAACTATCATAATTAATACCTTATGTAATATAATTAAAAACTTACAAATTTGGAAAATCCTCTCTAAACCTTCAATTTAGTACCTACACTAGATCCAAAAATGTAGAATATTAAGTTAATATTGTATTGATATTAAGCCTGCGATATATTTCAATAGTATGTTATTTTATATAAACAAAATAACAATTTAAAAAAAGTGTTACAATAAGTACCTAGTTAGCAGTTTAGCGATAAGGAATGTAAACTCCGAAACCCCACTGCACCGATTGGAAAGATTCTTAAATAGTTAGACGGTACATTATTCCTGAGTGCTATATTATGTTAATATATATATATATATAATTTACAAAGCTATGAATATCTATTAGTAATAATCACAAACTCATCCAGATTTTATTAACATTACCGAGGTGGCTCCTATTTTTATTAGTCGGTTGTAATCCTTTCTCCACTTATAAATCTTTTCACAACCTAAACCGTTTCATCCACATCAAATTGTAATTTAATTTAATAATACTAACATAATAAGACCACCTACATGTTAGAATTCTGTTTATTTTTAAAATGTATTAAGGGTTCATTTAGGATCAGTTCAATGAAGTTTAATTTATAGTTAATAGTACCTACAGTTTTTAGTAAATTTGTTCTAGTTCTTTAAAGATAAATAATGAACATGCCATCACGACTATTATCCCAAATAGGGTAGTCAGGTAGTCAGGTAGAGGGATGTCAATTGCCAACTTCACAGAGAACACAGCACTTGTCATTCCCACACTTCGCTGGGTATATTTGAATCCAACGTGGCATGGAGAGAGCCCATCGCCGTCTATAGGATTCAATTTTGGCATTCGTTTAATTCACCGGAGAGTCAGTTAGAAATATAAATTGACACTCCGTTTTTTATTGTAGCCCAGATTTGATTTTACGTCATTTAGGTTGTAGGTATATAGGAGTAGGAAACGATATGTAGTAATAACTATTAGAAAAATGGAATTATAAAATTACTAAATTAATGTCGTAAATTAAATTGACTATCATACGTTACATTCTATTTGTAAATGCTAATGTATTGAGAATATTAATTAATTATACAATTGGAAAATCGTAAATGGAAATATAATGATGGTTGAATACACTTTACGAATGCATTGTTTAACATTCATGAAGTGCATGTCAAAATATTTAATGCAACAGATTCTATTTGTGGAATCATAGTGTTGCACTGTTAACCCGACGATTATTCAAATCAGTCACTGTTCATACCGTTATTCGTCGGTAGTTAGGTACTCGCCTATTAGTCCGCTCCAGGATGTGACACACTTTCGTCAAATAAACGGTGCTTTCTATCTGGTATTGTGTCGCAAGATATTTTTTAACCTGTTAAAAGTAATAGCTACCGAATGTTGTTTCAATGTAGTTCTACAAATCCTGCTTGAAACATCGATAGAATCACCTTATTTACTTAACCTTACTGAATACCAATTATTTGTAACTTTTATCGTTAGTATTTGTATGCAATTTTTATATAATATATGTGGTGTTTCGTCGTTTCTCATTTAGACATCCCTTGAGTCCAAATAGTATCATTCATCTTTTGGTAGAAATTTACTACATAAGTTTTATACATCCAAATGACTAGTAAGTCTTATCTTACTGGAAGTTGTCGCACCACTTCCAGTAAGACAAGACTTATAACAAAAACATACAGAAAATGGTCACCATTCTTTTCATCAAACTTATACATCTAAATTGTAATAAGCATACAGTATGCATACAGTTGTTTAAGAAGACAAAAAACTAATAAATACCAATATCAAATTCCAATAGGTATTCTCTCAAGAATAGTTAAACAAGGTTATTATTTACGCGTTCACTTTAATTCAGGGAGCCGTAAAAGGCGTGAATAATTGCCGATGTGACAGAAAAAGCGGTCGGATTCCGCGGCTTTAGTCGGCTTGATGGGAGAACGTCTTCCTTTTTTGCCCTGATAAAAAAATTGTAAAAATGTGGCTACATGCGTTCGCGGGGTTGTTGCTGCGGGGTTGAAAGCTGGCTGGAGCGATTCGAATCGAGTCGCTCGAGACTCGTGTTCCGTCAGTCTGCCGGAGCCCCGTGCGTGCGCCGGTCGTTATAGTGGGGCGTCAGTCGCGCGTTGCGACGTCTTATTCGTTATTCGCGGTTTTTCGACCAACGCGCACGTGTCGTCGTCCATGCTATTTACGTTCATACACCTGTGACCACCAACGTGATGTGAAAGACCAGTATTGGTTGATGAACTATATTACTTGACAGTGTTGTAGACGTGCTTAGTGGTACTGTGCTTGTGCATTTTTGGAGTTTCAATAACTCTTGTGCTTAGGTGCTTGTTTCGGCGACACCCAAGTCCAAATTTACAGTTGGATGAACGCCAACATTTCTGGTGCTAAGGTGAGCGAAATCCTCAAATAATTTGATAGTAGCAAATATTTTTGCACGGCCAAAACCTATAATATCAGCAATTTGTTTATCAGCGTCAATAGGTACTAACTTATCTACAAATGTTCCGCTTGTCATGTTCTACTCCTATGTACGACTTATAGAATAGTGTATAGGGTAACAATTACGTTGACCAAAATAATTTCAATACTGCAAAATCAGCTAATTTTGCAGAGTTCAGACTCTAGTAAACGAATCCTTGTCTATACTATATTACATTTCTTGATACCATCGCGTAAATGAATTACATATTGTTGGTTATGAGAATTTTTATTGCGATCATAATTGTTTTTCAAATGTTTCCAAGGTTCACATCCGATAACAGTATTACAATACAGATACACACGCAATCATTCAACGGTTTATTAATAGGTGCCAACCGGCACGACTGTTACGCCTATTATCCATAATTGTATTGTTTTTAGACAAAATGAATGGTAGTGAAACAGACAAATACATATTGTAATAACAGTTGTAAATATGACACGAATGTTCATTGCCGTGAAAGGAGGTCTTACATTGAAGAAATTTCTCACGAGATTGAATTAGTTCATTATATATCGTGTTAACAAAACTGAGTTTCGTGTATTGTTTACAAGATGCTTATGTGACCTTGCCATGTATCAAAAATATTTGTCTTTATACGAATAAAGTTATCTTTAATGTTGATAAGAATTTTACATCTTATTGTTCTAAAAATTAGTTCAGTAACATCTACTTTCTACGTTTCCGGATAGTGAATTTAATATTCTTTTATGAACATCGACTCAAAAATTCCACACTATTCCACATTACACATTCCACACTATCAGTTTTAATTATCTATTTGATTATAACACGGTGACATAAAATATTACTTCTTTATCACCATTGTTGTCTATTATTATTCATATTCTATGTATTTTATTATCATCTGTTTTTAGACTCAACCTAATTTAAATAGGACTATTTTATTAAGTCTTTAAGTATTGTTTAACTGTTTTTTACTGTTTCAAGTTTTTGTTTACCATTCTTAATACAAGTAATAGCAATTTTATGAAAAGTACGCATAAAATTGCTATTACTTGTCATCAGAATTACCGAAACTAATATTTTGTATATATGTTTCACAATAACTATTTATGCTTACATCCTTCCTGTTACTAAACACATATGTCTTTTATGTTTGCAAATCCCTTGACTGATAAATATTAATGCTGAATTACTACTACATGTATGATCGTCAAAAACACCATGACGAAATGAAAACATAACAATAAATCATTTGTACTTTGTCAAGGTTATATATAACGTGTTATTATCTCAGTATATATTATCTTTTTACAAGGGCATAATTATGGTGTCTTATCTGTCATCCTGCAATTGACAAGAACATATTGTTCTATTATATTATAAACAATACCAATACGTTTAATTTCGTTCATTTAGATCTTGAATATATATGTTCGATAATATCGATTTTTATGTAAATAAATTTTCATGTCTAAAGAATTGCAGTAAACTCTAAGGTAAATCTAATTAAGTAAGTATGCTTTATAATTTAATTTGAAGATGCCGAATTTGGTGAAGTTAAGATTATTGCATTAATCACACGAGGTGATATGCCGATAGGAATAAATTCTTTGAAATAGTTAAAAAGAACAAGTGGGTAATAATTAATGTTTTCCTCAAACAAAATATGTATGCTTTCTTCATAATTATAATTTTATATTAACAGTCGAACGTCATTCAACAACCTAACCATTAGTCAACCTAAAATCAACAGCAGCTACATGAAATTAAGAAGTACTGAATATAAAAATTTGCCTGCTGAATACTTCCCAAAAGACTTGCATGTATTGTGCAAAAAGAATATTAAGTGTTTTCTTCAAGATTGCCTAATACAATAGAGGCTACGAAATAAAACCAGAATTATTAAAATTCTCCAGTATAGAGTAATCGTGAGAACAGTACAGGCTTTAAAATAATTACATATCTTCTCAAAGTATTAAATTTTGTTACAATAACCAAAATGTGATGCAAAGGAACGCGAAAGAATTTTTAGCAATTCTTGGAAATATCACACACAGATCTCTTCAATCGAAACTGGACCTTTATTAGAGATCAATGTTGTCTAACATTTAGTGAAAAAATTCCATCGTTTTGTATATCCAGCAAAGATCACAACAAACGGCGTATTTTTTTATAAGCAAGTATGTTTTTAGTTCTTATAACTGTCTATTACTCAGCTTTAAATATTCATTATTGATTGTTATACGAACAATGATTTCATTGTTGCTAACTGAAACCTTTGCCAATTTTTACGAGGTATTTGCCCTGTATGTTGAAGAATCGTGGTTAGTCATATGTTTAGATCCCATGGAACATATATATAATTTATCTAGATATTAACAGTTCTAATAATTCAGAAAGATTTTTTAAGTTGATTCGGTTTAGATAAGAAATATGTAATTATATGTATTTCTTTTTTCTATATCTGGATTGTCATAAATCCGCATAAAAAATATGAAGGATTATAAAAAGACACCTAATCCTGAGATATTAAAAAGATCGCAACTGCTTATTAAGAAATTAGCTATCGAATTCAAACTATTGAAGGTTACTGTGATCCGAAAGTGATAACAGCTCATGAAATTCTAATAAGTTTAAGTAAACTGACTATTGTCCGTGAACCGATATCTTGAACCCGATAAGAAATCGGCAGATAGCGCGCCGCTTACGTGACTGGTACAAGAAGCCTTTGCGTTCCAAGTCACGTTTGACACACTCCACAAGTTAAAACCTCTAAACAGATAACAGTCACAGTTATTAATGCACATTTGCTTACAAATGGTTAGATAGAAATGATGTACGAGTATGTGGATATGGTTTAAAAGTATGCCTAAAACGTTTTACATGCAATACAGGAGCGAATCTCGTTTAAAATTTCTACAAACGACATTTAAGTGGAACTAGGCAGGATGCGAGTGTGGAACGCCAAATTATACGTGACCCAAAATTTGAAAGTACGTGTTGATAGACTAAAAAATGTCGCAGCATACTCAGTGAAAGACAAGTGTCATAGTATCCAAAAAAAATGTTTGCACTATTGATGACAGTTGCAGATAGACCATTATCTGTGATCTAATTACCAGTATGACGAGAAAGTACAAAAGTATGTTCTTAGGAGTTCGTGCTTGCTACTGTTTTTTATTCAAGTATATATCTGGCAGAATATAATATACTAATCGTGCTTTAACTGGAATTTAAAGCAGTTGGATACTGAATGAAATGTATTATTTGCAAAAATATCACGTTTTACCGTGCTTTGATTGTAAAATAGGTAAAATGGTACCAAGACGACTGTTCCAGTACTTGTAACCTTGTTTTATATTAGCTTACTTTTAGTTATCATTTTTTTATTGTTATAAGAAAATTAGTGTAACTATAATTTGCAGATAGCATTATGAAGAATATTGTATTACTAATTTCTTACTCATTTCCACCATTATTTTTGTATAAGAAAAAGCTATTATTATTTTGAATGATATTTTCGCTCAGCGTTGTTATAAACAGCACGCATTTCCTCTAGTCAATGAGTTCAGACATTCAAGTGTCGGATTGACTCAGGACCACTTCAGAAAATTTGACCTCACCGAAATAACCCACGTGTACGTGACTGTCTATCCCTAGTTTTTTTAGTACAGACTAATCGTCATTCATTCAATTGCTCTGTTGGCCTTTGTCCAGGACACGGCGTATGCCAAGGTCCGATCTACTTTCGCATTGGATACCTTACTACTCTGAATGAGTCATGCCTTCTTCCGAAATCGATTAACAATATGTCCGAATTTATATTTTCTAATAAATTACAAAAAGGAGGAGTTCACTGTTATATGTATATGTATATTTGATTATACTGTAATTTTCAGGATTTTTTCTGTTTTTATTTTTTGCAATGGATAGAATTATTTATATTTTGGATTGAATTAAAGGATGGAATCCTATATCCTATTTTGCGACAATGTAAGTTGTTTCCATATGTAAATACATGTGTATACATTGTTAAAGCGGCATTTACTATTTGCAAGTTTACGAGAAATGTATTGTGAAGAGTTACGCTAAATAGCACTAAAAAAGTTAGTGCATGCTTGCAAATCTACCATAATGTAGTTCAATGTGATTTATAAAGCTATTATGATATGTGTCACACTAAATTGCTAAAATTAAAATTAATAATATGTTGTCCAATCAAAATACATTAATTCCTTACAACCCATTAGAATTAGAATGTTTACGATATTCAATTGAAAGGAAATCACCAATTTTAAACACTATGTCCTATCTTTGAGATGTAATATACATATAAACACCTAGTCATTGTGGTATTTCTTTATTTGCTGCTGCAGTTGTGTCGGCAATTACTGGAACTGAATTAGTTTTACGAGTGGCAGCCATTGCTATGACGCGATTGCTCGCTTAAAACCGACCAGCACTCATTGTTATGTGTTTATTATTAGTTCCCATGGACCATTTACGTTATACGTACTATATGTAGATTCACCGTTGTCGTAACCTTGATAAATGTTTTGTAACTGTAATTATTCATTGCAATTATTTTGTCTCTCAACCATTTGTCTTTTTTGTAATATATATCTTCATTTTTTGTTTCGTCAACATTACTATTAGCTTCCATATCATGTGAGTTTACATTGGGACGTATAGACATAATAAGTATATTAATAACAATGTCAGTAGATCGTCTGCAATGCAAAAAACATGTTTACGTTATTTATTTATATCGCAAAAATAATAAAGCGAGAACGTAAGCAGTAATGTTGACCAACTCATAGACCTAGGTCTAACTAATCACAGTAATTAGATACCGATGCAGTTTCACTTTCCGATCCTGCATCAATTGTCACTAAACCGTGAACAGCCTTGGTCCGTTTTGGTTTCGGCGATCGACCTAC